CCTTGGCTCCAGAGACTCATCCCCCCTCTCTGCCCCCTCCTGGCAGGGAGTTGCCGAGGGCCAGGAGGTCTCCCCTCAGCCTCCTCTTCTCCAGACTGAACCCCCCCAGTTCCCCCAGCCGCTCCCCAGCAGACCTGTGCTCCAGACCCTGCCCCAGCTCCGTTGCCCTTCTCTGGCCACGCTCGAGTCATTCAATGGCCTTTTTGGGGTGAGGGGCCCAAAACTGAACCCAGGAATCGAGGGGCGGCCTCACCAGAGCCGAGCCCAGGGCTCAGATCCCTCCCCTGTCCCTGCTCGCCACGCCAGTGCTGACACCAGCCAGGATGCCGTTGGCCTTCTTGGCCCCCTGGGCACACTCTGGCTCATTCTCACCCCCCCAGTCCCTCTCTGACCGGCCGCTCTCCAGCCACTCCCCAAGCCTGTAGCCCTGCTGGGCGTTATTGTGGCCCAAGTGCAGAACCTGGCATTTGGCCTTATTGAAACTCAATGCAAAGCAAATATAGGAATTAGAATATTAATTCTGTAACACAGAACTTGTTCATCAGAGGTGGATACAAATAGTTTTTAATGGCTGCAAGGCCTGTGGGGAAATCTTCGCTACACCAGACCTCGGGCAGCAGAACAACTCACCTCCGCAGGGGATGGGAGAGAGGGCAGGTGGGGCAGGCAGGAGGGGACCTGTCCCGGTGGGGTGGCTGCATCTCCGGGGGGGAACCCGGGTGTGGGCACCACTTGAGTGCTCCTGCTGCAGAGCAGAGTCCAGCCACCAACACAGCACCATGAACGTTTTTCTGCTGTAGACACCTTGCAAGGAAAAGTGGTCAGAGGTAGGAATGGTGACAGAGACCCACATCGTGATGGGATTTATTCCTCCACCTGCACTTGTATAAAGTATGTTCTCAAAAGTGAGGCAGCAAAAATACAAGCCACTCTTTTGCTGTGTGGCTCCCTCCTGCCCTCCCCGAATACTTTACCTGGCAGGCTGTCTGTTGATTCTGGAGTATTACTCACCCCTCAATTTGCCGACAGCTCCTGGCCATCAGCCACCTGCTGACAATATACGAGACATGAGTTAACAGTGATAATGCTCCTTGCTCTGGCACAAATGTGAGGTTTTAAATGAAATCTCCACTTAGAATTCTGTCTCACACACATTGGGATGGAGGAGTGCTCTGGGGTGGGCACAGCTGGCTCTGAGGACGTCTGTCGGTCTCTCTGGATCCCACCTCGCCGTACTCACATGTTGTTTCACTCCTGCGTTCACCCAGGCAAAGTTACAAGGCAGATGTTGTTGGACTTTAGGGAAAAGAAATCTTTGGGAGGACTGGAGAATTTGTATCATTCCAAATCTGGTTTAAAGATTTTCCTGATTTGCCCAGAGAAGTGATTTTTTTTTTCCAGTAAACCCTGATTCAGCAACCCATTGCTGGATTGCTCAACATTATAAGCTCAATATTAAGCACAGAAATATTTCTACTGCAGCTTTTAAGCAAAGGCCCACAGGCAGAAAGTAAGCGTCAATTTAAATTATTTTCTGACTGAACGGGCCTTTGTCGTAAGTAAATAGCTGATCTGGAAGAGTTCTCCAAAGAGATAATGAAAAGAGAAATCCACTGATTAGATGACCAAGGAATATTGAATTTGTGTAGCTTTTGCAGGTCTTAATTGAAGGCGTGTGCATTCTGAGCCTGCCACAAAAATCATTCTCCCAGGCATTTCATGGGCATTTGAACTAAATGCCCATGCTTAGCGAAAAGAAAGCTAATTGACAATTTCTTCCTTTATTGAATATACAGGGGCTACTCTCTAGCAGTCTAAAATGACAAAAGCCCAAAATTGGACAGGGAGAAGAATCTAACTCCACATTTGTCTCCCTCCTGTGTTGGCAATGAGGGGAGAGAGCAGTTACCTTTTAAAGGAGATGGCATGGAAAATTTTGCCTGGCTGGCAAAAGTTTTGCAACGTTAAAAATAATTAAAATGGGGTTTTACAACGTAAAGTATTGAGCAACTGTCTCAGGCATAGGTGTAACCATCAGCTCCACCTATAATAAACCTGACTGCTCCCCTCCTTCAGAGCAACGCAATCCGCTTAGAAAACTGATCCAAACAAACCTTGTTACTGCAGCAGATTTACAAAACCCAAATTGCGACAGAATGAGAAAGGGCAAAATGGAAAAATGAAACACATTGATCCTGTGATGTAAAGATAAGGCAAGGAAATGTGACGTGTTACAGCAAAAACACTGATCATCTTTCACCAGTTGCATGTAAGGCAGAGAAAAATGGCTCTTCTCTCCTCCTCCAAATAAACCAGTGGCCAAAGGCAGCCCCCTCAGTCCCAGCCCGTGTGGGCAAGTGCTCACCTCTGCCACGGGAAGCTCTGTTCAGACAATGACTTCTTGCCAGGGAGCTTCAAACCCAAACCCATTTGTTTAGCGAATGCTCCAGCATCTTCTGCCTGATGTTGCACCGGTCCCTGCTCATCTGCAGCGCATGGCCGGGGCTCCCGGCACGCTGTCCCTCCGCGGGGCCGCGATGGAAGGAGCTGGGACTGTTCAGTTTGGGGAGGAGAAGGCTGAGGGGAGACCTCATCACTCTCTACAGCTCCCTGAAAGGACATTGCAGAGAGGTTGGTGCTGGGCTCTGCTCACAGGGGATTAGCGATAGAACAAGAGGGAATGGCTTTAAACTCCAACAGGGGAGGGTCAGACTGGACGTGAGGAAAAAATTTTCACAGAAAGAGTGGTGTGAAAGTGTAATGCGCTGCCCAGGGAGGAGGGGGAGTTTAAGGTGTGTTTAAGGGTCATTTAGATGAGATGTTGGGGGATGTGGGGTAGGGGAGAACTTTGTAGAGTAGGGCTGAGGGTTGGACTCGATGATCCCAAGGGGCTTTTCCAACCTGAATGATTCTGGGATTCTGTGATTCTGAGGGGGAGTGCCAACGACGTAGCATTGTCCTTATGGGCCAAATGTTCTTGGAAACACTCCCACTCCTGTTTACCAACAGCTTCACCTCAGAGGATATGGGGTTTGTCCACACCTGAAAGCTAATTTGGATTAGGGGAGGGTGTGAATTAAAAGTGCAGGAGCAATCCCAAAATATCTCTGGGCAGATAAGCCCTGAGGTATCCAAACAACTGGCTAAACATAACCATCACTAATTGCAAAATCAGTGGAGAAGGGAAATCAGTGTGCACAAGAGAGCAGGTCGTGCATCCCAGCAATGGCAGGAACAGGGCAGGTTTGGGTTTACCCTCAGCCATCAGCCACAGAGAGAGGTGGACGTGGAAGCAGGACGTGGGGAAGGAGCAAACGTCACGAGAGGATGAGCAGAGCTGCGGCCAGGAGCACAACCCACCTCTGGCTGGTGCCCAGCGTGTGGCACTGGCTGTCGGGCAGGAGCTCACCGGCCCAGGGCAGGTACCAGCCTGGGTCACCACGCTGTGCCCATGTGGAGACAGTGGTTTTCACATCCTGTTCTCTGCAGCTTCCTTGTTAAATATTAATTGTGATTATTATAGGATGTCACACCCCTGTCACACCATGCTGGAGGCTGTACAAACACGGAATAGAAGGAAACTTTCTGCCTTAAAGAGCTTGCAGTGGCAGCGTCTCCCTCTTCCCAAGTGACAGGAGGCTGTGACCAGATACAAGGAGCCAGACACCACTTTGCCAAATGGGAAAAATCAAAAGTCTTCCACAATCTGAATAATAATGATTTCCTGCTATAGCCTGTTTCATCTCAAAAGATGGACATTTTGAATTCTATTGATGGTGATAGTGTATTTCGAGCTGCTGGCACTAAAAAAGGGAAGATACTGTGAAAGAGCTAGTGTCACATAAATTTATTTAATATAAAAAAGACATTAAAAAAGTAGACATTGGTAACGCTGATAAGGCTTTAGTGAAAAAAATAGTAATGCTGAAACCACATGAATTTTAACCATAATCTTGAAGAAAAGCAATTCAAGAGAAAAAGGAATCCATAAATAATAATGAGGAACATGGCAAAAGCTGAATAAGTAGAAATAGCCAGTCTGTTAAAAGGCTGACTAAGCATGTTCTTTGTAACAGCATGGAAAGGAAAAGACACAACAGCCTGTATCCTCCGCTTCAGTGATAATTTCCCTGGGAGCTGCACCCATTCATCTGGGGGCAGCTCAGGGTCTGAGCCACTTCTCTTCAATATAAAATAAAGTTTTGAAAAACTCTGATAGCAAAGTTGTGAAAGCTTGAAAGCCGAAAGCAGGAAAGCTTCTTAAAACACATGCTTTCTCACAAAGACTAGATGTCACCCTCTGCTGAATCCTGAATTCTTCTAATTCCAGATATGACTTCTGGCACTGGAAACTCCCGTTCCTGGAGCCGAGTAGAGAAGAGCAGAGGGTTGCGCTCGGGATAAAAATAGTTGGGCAAAACGAGGTCCCTTCCATATCCCATCTCACCCTCCCTGGGATGGAAGCTCATCGTTTTCTTGTATCTCCATAGCAGAGAAGATGGAGATGGATCAGCTTTGACTCGCAGTTTCAATCCCCCCCCAGCTGTAGGGGGATACCAGAGCCCCCATGGAGCCCAACTTTTAGACACT